TTTTCTGTCTCTCTGTCTGTCTGCTTGCCTACTTACTTCCCTACCTATGTGCATCCTGTTGGTTTCGTTTCTCCTGGAATCCTGACTAATATAACAGATGTTCATATTAGGTTTGCAGTGCACAAGTGAGAATGTAGTGTGAGAGTTGCTGAAGGCCCAGGCTACTTTACTGAAAGTTCTCTTTCTCTTGTGGCTATTGGATTTGAATAATCCCCATGTCTTCTGATGCAGCAACTCATTCAAGAACCTTTAAAGGGAACTTCACAGTAATTTTCCTCTCACTTATCTTTGGCAATCAAAACAAACAAAATCAAGGACTAGAAAAGCATTGACTCACTCTTTGAAACCTTAGGTCTATATTTAGATTAAACACAGCATAAGAATCTGAAGTTTTACATTGGTGTACAGGCATGTGCTTTAACAAACAACAACGAATAAACAACAGACAAACAAAACACATAGGTGACAACAATGGACGATTAACTAACACCAAGAAATTCTGAATTTTCATCTCAAAGAACAAGTTCCTTCTCTGTTTCAGGGATGAGAGAAAATGACATATTTCAAATACAAGTTAATTCTTTACTTTTACCTAAATTGTTCATGATTGAATGGTCCTTTTATATGTCAAGAGAATGAGCCCTTCTCTTCCTGATCTCCTATTAAAAACAGTGGGACAATTAATTTTTCCTGCTGATTAATCTGATAATAGAAGCTCTTAAAAATTTAGAGCTTCTTGTAAAGATCAGATATTCAAAGGGAAAGTAATTCATCAAGGATCCTTTTTGGCAAATGATGTTTAAAAGCTCAGAGGGCTCTAATTAGGTGAGTACAATGATCACAGAAGAAATGTTAGATTAGAACCAAAAAGTTTTTTGAAGGGTAGAACAATTGAAAGGAGCTAAGGACAGATTAACACATGAGAATTGATTGACTGAGTTAATGGCAAAAAGAACTTAAAAGAGCACTTCAGTCAGTGAAGAATGACAGAGAAGATATGGGAGGGTCAGGGCTCCTTTTACAAATACTCACATAGGTATTTTCTTTAAATAGAGGGCTTTTGTGGAGAAAAAGTAATCTCCTTTTTTCTTATTCTTTTAAAAGGTTTTTTGCCATAGCACATGTGTGCTTGCCAAAGACAGAGAGAAAGTGAGAACCCCCCACCCCCACCACCACCTCCCAGAGAGGATGGACATACCATAATCCCTTCTCCTCCATTCTCCTCCTGGGATTCTGTACACAGATGCTCACATGCTCAGCATGAGTTTTTAGCTTCCAGGTCCAGGACTTGAACCACGGCTGGCCATATGAGAGTCCAGTGTCTCAACCCTCAACCATTACACCTCTGCTGGCCCTGAGAAAAAGTAATCTAAAAACTTGCACAGTTAAAGAGCAACCTGTTGGGGCCAGCAGTTGGCATAATGGCTATGTTGCTGGATTCCCATGTAGTTGACCTTGGTTCGAGTCCTGGACCCGGTGGCTTAAACTAATGCCAGGCATGTGTGCGTGCATGCCCAGGATCCCGAGAGGAAAATGGAAAAGAAGGGATTGCGGTGTAGCCATCCTCCTGGGGGCAGGGGTGGGGGGTGGATTTCTCTTTCTGCCTCTGTGTCTCTCTCTGTCTTTCTGGTGAGCACACGTGCCCTATAGCAAAAACCTCTCCAAATTAATTAATTAAATTAAAAATAAGGAGCAATCTGTTGAATTCAGTAAGACTTTCTGTGCCCAAGGAAACTATTCGGCCTTAGCTCAGTAAGCAATAGAAACCAATAGAAGCAGTAGAAACATAGAAGATCTTGAAAGACAAAGGAAGGGGAGGAAGGCAGTGTGTTGGAAAAATGGATCTGGAAGTATGGTGTAGACTGGGTGGGCACAAACTGGCAATTAGAAGCAAATGAGATTCTCAATGGAGGGTGTAGATGGGGCTGAGAATATGAGATGAATATGAAGAAAGAGTGAGGGACTCATGAAGAGGAATAACCATACACAGGCCGGATGGTATCTTTCAGGTCATTTAGTCTAACCTGCCACCCAGTACAATCTGTCTAAATTTAACGAGGTGTTTTGTTGTTGTTGTTGTTTTGTTTTTGTTTTTGTTTTGCCAGAGAGAGACAAACAGAGGGAAAGTGAGAAGTTATCCCTCAGGGAGGATGGCTATGCCACAGTCCCTTCTCCACCGTTCTCCTTCTGGATTTGGGGCACTTATGCATATGTGTCCAGCATGATTTCCAAGCCACTAGGTTCAGGACTTGAAACATGGTTGGCAATGTGGCATGGCCTTAACCACCATGCCACCTGCTGGCCCACAAGATTGTTTTGAAATGTTTCCTTATGCTGGTATATTCAGGTGTTCACTGGGTTCTCTAGCTATCCCATTAGGAGAGCAGCATTCTCTGGACCACGAGGTTTATATTATCCCTGTCTTTGTAGATGTTCTTCCTGGATTTTTCCTACAGCATTAGAAGTCTTTCTCCAGTCTTTTCAAAGGCTGCCATCCCAACCTAAAACTTGGAGCTACAAATCACCTAAAATGCCAATAGCAACTCTTTAGGAAGCTCTGAGGAGATGAGGTGGAGAGAGCTTCTCTTTCACTCAAACTTTTGACACCTTATTCTCCCCACTGTCCTCAAAACCAACACATTGGCTATGATGTATGGTAATTTCTTTACAGAAGAGCTAGAAAAGAGAAGTATTGGGGTCGGCAGGTGGCACGGTGGTTCAGGTGCTAGACTCCCACATGGCTGACCACAGTTCAAGTCCTGGACCTGGTGGCATGCTTTCTCACCTCCTTCCATTCCCTCTCTTTGTTTCTCTGTCTCTCTCTGGTAAGCCTGCATACCCTATAGCATTTTTTTTTTTTTTTTGGAGAGGTTTTCGTTATAGGGCACGTGCGCTCACCAGACAGACAGAGAGAGAGACATAGAGACAGAAAGCGAGAAATCATCCCCCAGGGGGGATGGTCACGCCGCAATCCCTTCTTCTCCATTCTCCTCTCGGGATCTTGGGCACGCACGCACACGCGCCCAGCGTGAGTTTTAAGCCACAGGGTCCTTGACACAAACCACGGTTGACTACATGGGAGTCCAGCGACATAGCCATTACGCTAACTGCTGGTTCCCCCCTATAGCAATTTTTAAAATAATGAAAATAAATAAAATTAATTTAAAAAGAGAAGTATTGATATAATGTTAGCAGGTAAAGAGCTAATTAATAGTAGCTAACCTTCATAGAGTACTTACTGTATGGTCATCACAAACTGAAGGCTTTACATACCTGATTTTATGTGGTCTTTACAACAACCCTGTGGGGTAGATATCATTATGTCCTCAACATTACACAGGGATCCAAGACCCAGAGATTTAGTGGCTTCCTTAAAGTCAAACATCCACTAAGTGGTGGTGCTGAAATCTAAGACCAGGGAATGGGACTTCAGAACCTGCGTCCCACCCACTGTGCTGTCAGGATACTCTAAGACTCAGTCCTTCCTGGGGAAGTCTTCCATTTCTCCGACTCCTAAGGCTGTGTTGCTACCCTGAGACTTGGGCCTTTTCTGTCCAGACTCATTGATTTTCAGCTCTCTCCATGTAAAACTTCCTCTCCTTATCCTTGAGAAACTCTGCTCTATCTCACCAGAAGAGCTCCCATTCCATGTCTTTGTCTGCTCCTCATACACAGTCTCAAGTGTGAATCCCGTGAGCTTAAACAACACCCAACACGCAGAGCTCCAGGCAAATTAAAGAATTCTCATCAGAGCTCAGACTTGGGAGGAGACTCAAAATGGATGCCTTGAGTGTTCACCACCTCCTCCATTTTATGCCCTAAAAGGTCACCTTTCATGATATGCCTGCCAGTTTAATGATCTATTAAAAGTGCCATCTCTCCCCAAAATGTACATCAATTTCATTTTATCATTAAAAAGATACACATTAATAGACTTTTTAGGTCAGTTTTATGTCTATAGAAATGTGAGCAGAAAGTTCTGAATCCCTTCAAGCCCTGGCACTGCCACCCCGAAGTTCTCCCTTATTAACATCTTCTATTAGGATGGTACATTTGTTACAGTTGATGAACCAAAATTGATACATTATCCCAACTGAAGCCCACATTTACCTCAAGTGTTGTGCAGTTCTGTGGGTTTTGGTCAAGGAATAACGTCAGATATCCGCCATGACAGTGTGACAAGTCAGTCATTTCTCTTTCGGCGTCAGTGTAGACGAACAACATGTTGACGAAGGAGCTCTTCTTGACCACAAGGCACCAGTCCCTGTACTGAAATCAATGGATGCCCACTGTGGAGCTGAGGAGCTTTGCATGTTCTTCCTACTCTGGTAGTGGTTTCTCCCTGAAGGACTACTGAATGTGACAGAATACTCTACACAGAGTAATATGTATTATGTGCATTTTCCAACACACTGCCTTCCTCCCCTTCCTTTGTCTTTCAAGACCTTCTATGTTTCTACTGCTTCTATTGGTTTCTATTGCTTACTGAACTAAGGCTGAACAGTTTCCCGGGGGTGATGGCCACGCCGCAATCCCTTCTCCTCAATTCTCCTCTTGGGATCCTGCGCATGCATGCACACAAAATACTGACTTCCAAACAAACCTGACCCCAAAGATTCTGGATGTAGAGTTGACCCCTTAGTTGAAAGTGATTTCAGGTAAGTCAAGAGGAAGGGATGAACAAATGGAGTCAGCAGGTATCACCTTTTTGTATAAGACATTTATTAAAGTATGTCAGTAAGTGTGTTTTGGCTAAAAGCAATAGAAATTCCAACTTGAAGAAACTGAAACCATGAATGTGGCAGCTAATATAGCTGGAAAGCCAGAGAGAGGCCTAGTATAAAGCAAGGCTTGATACAGAAACTCAGAGATTAAGGACTCACATCCTTTGGGTCTGTCTGCTCTGCCCTATAGGTTGCTTACTCTACATTTTTGGGGTCCATGAACAAATAAATAAATACAGGCTGTGATTTAGACCAAGTGCCCTCATCCACTCCTAGAGCATCCACTCCTGGAGTAGTCATCGTCCCTGGTTCTGCATAGATGACCAAAGAGAAATCAGAGGATATTGAGAAGGGGAAAGAGACCTGGCTGGTGCAGAAACAAGCCACTGACAAATACAGGGGAGAGAAACCACTGAAAGAAGGTAAGCTTTTTGTTGTTGTTGTTTTAAGTAGAGAGTATACGTGTTTGTTTGAGGGTAGAGGGAAGGGGCTGGAGTGAATTAGGACCTAAAGGTCCAGTTGCGATATCCTGGAGGAGGAGGGGAAGGGAAGGGATTTGTACAGAAGGAGACAGTGGGTGTGTGGCTTTGTAAATAGATTGTGGCAACTGGCTCTGATATCCCAAACTTGAACTGCCTGTCAGATGGACGGGCACAGCTGGTCGCCTTGGGTGGAGTTTCTTGGGGCTAGCTTTGGTCACACAGCAGTTTTTCCTGCAAGGCCTAGCCACAGCCCGACCCCACAGCTACCTAAGAGCTAGCCCATCTCTCTAATCACTGATAACAAGATTTTATTGTTGACTGCACTTAGACATGCCTTCACAAATGAAAATGCACTTCTGGGCTATAATATTGGGTCCCTAAAATCTCTTGGTTTCAAAGCAGCAACTATTACAGGAGTTTAGCCAGACAGGCTGTTGGTAAAATGTATCCATGGAGGTTTCCAGGCCTCCTGTATCTTTATATGAAGGAAGGTAACACTAAAAACAAAACAAACAAATAAACAAAATCCCTTTTATTGAAGTATGATATAAATGTAAAAAATAAACATATCTTAAGATGACAACTTGATTAATTTTCACCTACTGAATGCACCTACTGATGCTGATAACTATCAGCATCCAGGTTAAAAGCCAGAACCTCTTTCTTTTCCCCTTTATTCCCTTCCTCTCACCCTCCCCCATTTCCTACATTTAAGGGACACAAAAATGGAGAATGATGTGTCGATGATAATGTGGATGATAATAATAATATCTTTTACATTTTTTTTTATCTTTTTTTGGAGAGGTTTTGTGTTTTTTTGTTGTTGTTGTTTGTTTGTTTGTTTTTTGCTATAGGGTGCATGTGCTCACCAGAAGGACAGAGAGAGACAGCCATGAAGGTGGCAGCTAATATAGCTGGAAAGCCAGAGAGAGGCCTAGTATAAAGCAAGGCTTGATACAGAAACTCAGAGATTAAGGACTCACATCCTTTGGGTCTGTCTGCTCTGCCCTATAGGTTGCTTACTCTACATTTTTGGGGTCCATGAACAAATAAATAAATACAGGCTGTGATTTAGACCAAGTGCCCTCATCCACTCCTAGAGCATCCACTCCTGGAGTAGTCATCGTCCCTGGTTCTGCATAGATGACCAAAGAGAAATCAGAGGATATTGAGAAGGGGAAAGAGACCTGGCTGGTGCAGAAACAAGCCACTGACAAATACAGGGGAGAGAAACCACTGAAAGAAGGTAAGCTTTTTGTTGTTGTTGTTTTAAGTAGAGAGTATACGTGTTTGTTTGAGGGTAGAGGGAAGGGGCTGGAGTGAATTAGGACCTAAAGGTCCAGTTGCGATATCCTGGAGGAGGAGGGGAAGGGAAGGGATTTGTACAGAAGGAGACAGTGGGTGTGTGGCTTTGTAAATAGATTGTGGCAACTGGCTCTGATATCCCAAACTTGAACTGCCTGTCAGATGGACGGGCACAGCTGGTCGCCTTGGGTGGAGTTTCTTGGGGCTAGCTTTGGTCACACAGCAGTTTTTCCTGCAAGGCCTAGCCACAGCCCGACCCCACAGCTACCTAAGAGCTAGCCCATCTCTCTAATCACTGATAACAAGATTTTATTGTTGACTGCACTTAGACATGCCTTCACAAATGAAAATGCACTTCTGGGCTATAATATTGGGTCCCTAAAATCTCTTGGTTTCAAAGCAGCAACTATTACAGGAGTTTAGCCAGACAGGCTGTTGGTAAAATGTATCCATGGAGGTTTCCAGGCCTCCTGTATCTTTATATGAAGGAAGGTAACACTAAAAACAAAACAAACAAATAAACAAAATCCCTTTTATTGAAGTATGATATAAATGTAAAAAATAAACATATCTTAAGATGACAACTTGATTAATTTTCACCTACTGAATGCACCTACTGATGCTGATAACTATCAGCATCCAGGTTAAAAGCCAGAACCTCTTTCTTTTCCCCTTTATTCCCTTCCTCTCACCCTCCCCCATTTCCTACATTTAAGGGACACAAAAATGGAGAATGATGTGTCGATGATAATGTGGATGATAATAATAATATCTTTTACATTTTTTTTTATCTTTTTTTGGAGAGGTTTTGTGTTTTTTTGTTGTTGTTGTTTGTTTGTTTGTTTTTGCTATAGGGTGCATGCGCTCACCAGAAGGACAGAGAGAGACAGAGAGATAGAAAGCGAGAAATCACCCCCCAGGAGGGATGGCCACACCACAATCCCTTCTCCTCCACTCTCCTCTCAGGATCTTGGGCACGCACACACATGCGCCCGGCGTGAGTTTAAGCCACCGGGTCCGGGACGTGAACCGCGGTCGACTACGTGGGAGTCCAGCGACATAGCCATTACGCTAACTGCTGGTCCCGGATGATAATATCTTTAACTGAACTAATACACAGTGTATTCATGCTGGGGAAATTCATTTTGCAAACTGTGATGATATACAGTGATTGAATGGATAAAAATAATAATAACTAAAAAAGAAAAACAGCACCTCATGAGCACTCCAGCAGTTTGCTTGACCTTAATCCATTTTAGGAAGGTGGCTTCCAAGAGTGGAGTCTGTCTTTGCAATGATGTGATGGTGATTTTAGAGTTAACCGTTAACTTGGTCATGTGAGCGTTTCACTGCTGCCAGACTCTGATTTCAGAAACGCTTTACTCTTAAAAAGCATGTCTTTAAGCAAAAATCTGAATTGCCCATAACAATCATTTTCATCTTTTGGAACATCAGCAGAATCTGTCAAATGAACTGGTAAATTGGAGAGAAGTAGAGGATATGGATCTTTACTA